TGTTTTCCGATTTCGATTGCTATCTTGTTGACCTTATTAATAGATCTTGGCTGTTACCTTTTATTATTATACCATGCTAATTGACACATATGATCCGTTAGCTTATGGTGTTTTTACACGATATGTATTTTACATATGTGCTGTCACTTTTTTGCATATGGAAATCGAACTCGTCATGTGAAACATACGGAAATTTCAATGTGTCAAAACGAGATGCAATTACATATGTATTTTTTCCGAATAGGACGCGCTCTATTTTCGTATGTGAAACATAAGGAAATCAGCTGTTTGAATGAAACACATTGTTGGAAGAAAATATTTCAATTGCAAGTCAAAGAAAATGATGAAAAGGCAACAATTACAAATTATTATTTCGTTTGTAGGTGTTTAATAAAAAAAATGTTGATTTAAGAAAAAATAAAAGTGATTTTTTTGTTTATAGGTTATGTCATATGTAAAATACATATGGCGATTTGAACACAAAAATAAATGTTTTGTGTACGCCGCTAATTTTGACACACATAAGGAATTACATATGGATGAAATAAGTGACAGCACATATGTAAAATACATATCGTGTAAAAACACCATTACAAGTTGCCCCACATGTTATTATTTTAAAGTGAATGATTAAAAAGAAGAAAATATATACATATGTCGGCCTGTGTATATTTTTTCCTGATAAAAAGAAAACAAATTTTATTTGGTGGAAAATAAAATGGTTTGCCGTCTGTGTTTAAGCGAAATTTCTCATGAATTTGTAATAGAACTTTTCACAGATTGTGACACGCGTCGTGATGGAAAAAATGAAGTTCTAGCATTAATTGAAAAATATCTTGAGATCAAGGTTTGTGGTTTACGATAGAATTTTGATATTGGATATAAGACTCCAAATTTTGGGTTATTATTAAATATGTCTATCCGTTTTATTTTAATAATATTTAATATTCTTGATCAGAATAGACAAAATATTTGTCCATGTCTGTTCGTCTTTTAAAATAGTTGTGTGATTAGCAAGTAATCTTCTTTTTTTAATATTATGGTTTATGTACTGTTGGAAGTGTAAAGTATATATGTAAGTAAAGGGTATTACAAATAATCTAAAACGGCATTTACATTAGAACTTTTTACCGGGTTAAACTACATTATGGGTTAACGAAATTCGGTATAATCTAAACGTACTATTAATTAGTAATCCTCAATTTATATCATGTTTACACAACAGAAGTCACTATAAAGGTTGCAATGCACATTGCACTGGTATTGAAAATGTATAACTCCGCGATTTGATTACCAATATTTGGTATTTTGGGAACATCTTGATGAATCTCAAACTGTGCCATTATTTTGAGATTATTTTAAACAATATACATGTTCAGTAGCTAAACTCTGATCACTATTCAAAAATATTTACGATTGACAGTTATTTATATATCATATTATATTTTTATTATTCATTAAATTCAAATTATTCTGAAAAATCCATAATTTGTATAACACCCTATCCTTTCCTACCTTCTTTCAGATACTTCACGATGATGCGTTATCGACTTCAATTTGCCAGGATTGCCATAACAGTTTGTCTAGTTTCAATGAATTTTGTAAAGATGTCAGCAATAAACAGTCAACATTACATAAACAAAATTTGACCAGCAATTTGAAAAGTGAATGCCGTGATAATGATACAAATGATAGCTATTCAAATGATGCAATATTTGAACCCTCCATAGATTTGGTTAAAACTGAAATGGATATCGAAGATAATGAATTTATTATCGGCGATGTTTTTAATGAAAACGAAATGACAAAGGATCAAGAATTTGATACAAATGATGTGGTTGATGATAAATCCAAGGAACATGAATTTGATACAAATGATGTAGTTGATGATAAATTTAAGGACCAAGAATTCAATACAAATGATGTGGGAGGTGACACATCTATGTCAGAAGGTAAGAGTTTATAATGGATTTTAGTATTCAATGACGAGTGTAACTATGATTTTGCGACTGATCGTCCACAAGAATGGTCATTCATCTTCAATGGTTTTTACTATTTTTGTTATTTCATGATAATTATAATTAGAACTAGCATAATATGTTTGTGTTGGTTATAAATAAAAGGTTGTGATATGTCGTAATAGCTTCGTTAAAACGACATAAATTAATAAAGTTTCTGCAATCCTAAACAAACATCAAATAAATTAAAAAAAAAAACATAAAATTTAATTCTAATTCTTTTTCAGATGATGTGCCATTAATAAATCTTAAAAGTAAAAATAATAAAAAGAAAAAAATAAATACCAAAGACAGTCAGACAGCAAAGAAACATCATCCGGTCACAAGTGAAACCAAAAACGAAGAAAGACGAAAAAAATATTTATCTACACAAGAAATAATAGCTACATGTGTGGAATTGAAATGTGATATCTGTCAGGTACAGGTGGTGAATACATGGAAAGAATTGCGAGAACATTTTTTAATTGCCCATACACGACGGCCCTATATGAAATGTTGTAGTACGGTATTTGAGAAGCCAAGGCCATTGATTGACCACATATTTTGGCATAAAAATCCCCATAAATTAAGGTAACATTCGCAAATTTTACTATTCTAACCAAATGAAAATAAATATACTCTTCCGGTTTTTTAGATGTAAACAGTGTAACGAGGTGTTAAATGACTTAAAAGATTTGACAAATCATGTACAAACAAAACATCCAAAGAATATTGAACCACAGATAACAATTGAATGTCACGACTGTCCACATTGTTCGAGACAATTTCGTAGCTTTAAGGCCTACACCAAACATTTGCAAAAGCATAGCAGTGTAGCGGAGGCGGATGGTGAAAAAAGTCCCGAATGTCTCATATGCAACAAAATGTAAATAATTAATTTTAAATTCGTTTTTTTTTATTCAAACAAATTCTTAAGCTAAACGCATAAATGAAATTCCCTATCCTTTCCTCACAGATTTGAAAATGAATCGGAACTACGCCTGCACATTGATGCCGAACACAAAGACATCTATTATCACATCTGTGAAATTTGTGGTAAAAAATTCAAATGCAAGGAATCATTTCGAAAACATTATTCCACACATCAGGGTATCGATGAGCCACCCGTTCGCTGTACAATATGCCACAAATTCTACAAAAATTATGATAGTCTACGTTTGCATCGGCTGCGACACGAAGAACGGCCACGATCATGTGATATATGTGGTCGTAAGTTTACGACACAACGTACCTGGAAGAAACATGTCCAATATTGGCATGAAATGGAGAAAAATCTACCGTGTACAATGTGCGATAAAGTGTTTCGAGAGAAACGTAATTTAGTTGAACACATGGCCACACATACCGGTGCCCAGTTGTATGCCTGTCCACATTGTGGCAAAGAGTCACGTTCGCGCGCCAATATGTATGCTCATGTTAAACGTCAACATCCGGACGAATGGTGGCGAAAGAAATTGGAACGTTATAATCTAGATCCGAATACGGTAAAGCCGATAGCAGTGTCTCATCAAAATGACGATGGGCAGTAGCATTAGAGAAATTAGGTGCTATTTCAGAAATAAAACAGAATTCCAGAAGTGGCATTTGAATTGAATGCTAAACTATTTTATCAATAAATATTTTTTAATATAAAATACTTTTTTTAATTCACGACTTGGTTCTACAAAAACTTCGCCGCAAGCGTCGTCGATTCATTCATTCGCGAGCATTCCTTGCTGAAGAACATTCTTTTGAAAAACTCAAAAAACAAATGTTCGCGAATGCTCGCAAGTACTGTTAAAAAAACAAGTAAACACACACACAACGAATGAATGTGTGTGTAGCAGAAAGTGTGTGGAATAACAAAACACATGTCCAACAACTATTGAGTTCACGAGCGTTTGTTGTTATTGTTGTTGCCGTTTTGAGCATTCGGGAATGTTTGAGAGAATATCAGAAATAATTTCAACCACCAAACGAAACAAACTATCGTTGTCGTGGAAACGACGAGTGTTTGTTGTTATTGTTGTTGCCGTTTTGAGCATTCGGGAATGTTTGAGAGAATGCCAGAAATAATTTCAACCACCAAACGAAACAAACTATCGTTGTTGTGTTCTCTCACTCGTTTGTTGTGTGTGCGAACATTCTTTGGCGAATGCTTGTTTGGTAAAGAATTTATTCGTAAAATGAGCACAAAACGAAAAAAAAGTATTTTAATTCATTCGCGAGCGAATTGTTTGGCATCCTGCAGAATATATAAACAACAACAAAGTATTCGAAAAATACTTTAAAAATATTTTTTAAAGATTCACGCTTTAAAAAATATTTTTGCTTTAAATTCACTCCTCAGATGGTATTAGAAAAATATTCTTTAACAAAATGCACACCTCCAAATCCCATACATTTAAGTTCCACAGTAATAAAAAACATTGCGGATAATTTATTTTCAAAAAAAATCTTAAAATTTTATTTTCAATAAAGATATCAATTAATCAAAAACACGACATTATTCTAAATAATGTGATTTTTTCTATGAATTATCATTGTGATGATTTTTCATATGTATGTATATTAATAGTGTACACATCCAAAATATAACGTCGTACCATTTTATTTTGGAATATATGTACATATATGTAAATTGTTTATGCATATAAAAAATGAATTATGTACATATAAGCATGTATGTAGGTAAATCTATAATATGTAATTATATACATGAAAACACGTACGTACATATATGTATACAGTATCATTCTGACTGTATACAATATATAACTAATATTTGTTGTCCATTTCCATATCTTAAACTAAGTCTAAAAAATAATTGTTTAAAAAAGAAAAACACTTCTAAAATCATGTCAGATCATGAAATAACCATTGATAACAGAAAAAAGAAATTACCGAAAAATACAAAATTCTTACAAGTTTTGTTTTTGTTGTACTTTTGTGTGAGATGATGATTTCGTTAAGAGCATTTTGTGTGTGTGGTGGGCTGGCTTTTTATCCTTGACCATGGCATGTATCTATTTTGGGTATTGAGAACACAAAGGCTAAACACCCAAAACGCATAAGAGAACCATGCTGAAGTATAGCTGTACCCTCCCAAGCACCCTTTATCATGGGTGTCTCATCGTAAGGTGAACATTTACAGTCGGGCTTTGGTGGTGGTGCCATTCTAAAAATTAATACGCAAAATAAAATACTACAAATCGTATAAGAAATCTACGCTTACCTTGCTGTATTATCCACAACATAATAGTGACGTTGTATGCCTCTTCTTTTATCTAAAATTGCCTGCACTTTTCTTTGCAATTCCACATCTTCAGCTTTCAGTTTTTTAGCAGGTGTTGGACTGGGTTCGGTAAAGTCACAGGAATACAATTGTCCATTAACCTCAGTACCATATTCCGAGTAATTGATTAACTCATAGGTTTTAGTGAAATCATCATAGAATATGGTGGCATGTTTGGGGGATATACGCCGACAGTAGCCAATAACGGATAAATTAACGTCCACACCCATGTTGCTGTCACCATAGCCAATGTTAATACTACGATACCGCATAAAGAACGATGAGTGCAGTTCAATATTGCTAAACCAACGATTATCTTCGAGTATATCACCTAGCGGTGTTAGCACAGCTCGGCAACGTATTTTTCGTCGCAACAGTTTCAATTCAAGTCGGCTGGCTATTTCGTATGCTTTCTCTTGATCAGTATAGACACGTGGTGTATATTTTTGTTCCTCCTCATCGGCGGCCACAATTGCTGCCGCTGTGGCCAAGGCAGGATGCAGTTGAGGCATATCTTCTGAGACGCTATTTGGTTGGACCAAAATCGATGAGGTCTCTCCCGTGAACATTATACTTAAACGTCTAATATCGGTTGGCGACAGGATTTCCGATGGTACTGGCGGCGGTGGCGGTACATGTTCTCCGCATGACATTTGTGTTGGAACTTGTGTCAGTTCTCGTATACGTTTGGCGGCGGTACGATTTTGATATTGTCCCACAATTTCCGGATGATCTTGGATGAGTTGTTGTAAACGTTGATAGGCCAATTTCTTGATTAGATCCACATCTAAATATTGCAACTCAGCATCAATTTGTGGATCATATTTTGTTTCTTCATCAGAATCATAGCCAGCGCCGGCACTTTGGTTCAATGGTTCGCTTTTAATTTGTTCCTCTGTCGCTGTTTGCGAAGATTTGTCATCAATCAATTTTTCTTCTGTTATGGTTTCAGTTTCGGTTTTAATTTCCGGTTCTTTAACGTTGGATGACATTTGCTGACCTGTTGAATTACGTTTAAGACGTTTGGATTTTGCTGCTGTTTTATTTGTCGTCTTGTCAGTATCCTCATCTTGTGACCCCTCATTATCTTTGTCAGGTTTTTCATTGATCTCACCAATTGGTGTTTTATCCTCCTTCGTAGACCCATCATCCGTCTTTTCAGCCTCTTTATTATCTGATTTATCCTCATGTTTTTCGTCATTAGCATCATCATGATCATCATCATTGTCACTGCTTTCACTACTGCTGCTGCTTAATTCTTCAACACGTCCCAATTCCTTTTGTATTTCTCTGAACTTAGCTTTTGCCGTCTTCAATGCTTCCAAATCTTTGACCAATGATTCGGCAACACTCTCTTTCGATATAACCTCAGGAGAACTGGGCAAACATTTACGTCGTTTCACAATATCATAACGTAGCGTTTCTCTTAGGGAGGGTAACAAGGGTGGAGGATTTTCATAGTGATATTTAACCATTGGCGGTACTTGTATTGCCTCGCGGGATTTTATCGGCACTTTAATACGAAATGGTGGATTTTTCATATGTACACGTCGAAAAAAATCCATTTTGACTGCTTCATGATCAAAGGGCTGTGAGAATTTATCCCACAAACGTACACGTTCCGTTGCTGAAATACTTGAGAGAAGATTATTGTCCTGCAGACGACGACAAAGAAGAAAAGAAAGCAAATAAAATTTGTTATTTGAATTGATTTTTTAATCCTTATAACTTACAATAAAATTTTCCACATGATTTGGACACATCCATAATCCAGTTGGCAATGCTGTCATTGGTGGATCCAAACAATCTTGATGAAAATATAGGGGACAATAATCGCAGGCCACCAGTGGTGCCTTTTTGCATGAACGATGACAATAGAAACATGTTTTTGCTGGCAAAGGTACCAAGCCTTGTGAATCCAATTCGAATGGTTTGGAATTTCTTCGATAATTTGGTTTTTTATGATTATTGCCATTTTTACGAATAGGTTCAACTGTAAACAAAGGGAAAAGTATTGAAATTTTGTTATGTATTTTTTATTAGTACTGGAACTATAGGCTTAGATATATACAAAAAAAAAAAAAAAATAATCCATTCAATTAAAAAAAAAATTAAGAACAATATATAATTTAGAATATCGAAAGAATGAAGTTGTTTTAAATACGCCCAGAAATTACTTTTTCAAAATCTTATAGTTGATTTAAAAACCTAAATATTTTAATAAATTTTAGGTAGGATTTCAAAATGACTTGTGCCAATTGATTTAAAAAAAATTTGCTCCAAACGGGGGTATGTATATATGACATTCCAGGCACGGGAAAATTCATATTTTAAAAATTATGGTTCTTTAATAAGATTATAATGAAAAAAATGTATAAGGGTATACCCTTAATAACGATATTCTGGTGTCCACGAAAAGAATGGAAATTATTTACTAGTTTTATATACAACGTAAAACTTGCCATACTTACTTTTATCATTGCCCGGAAATTGTGTATGTATCTCCAATTCTCTGGGTAATTCAAATTGTTTTGGATTTAAAATACTTGCTGCTTTGATTAGTTCATCTAATGGTGTGGGTTTCTTGTTCGGATCCAATGCTCTCTGTATACCAACTGGCAACTTTGATAGATATTTTTCTGTACTACTTAAATCACTGCAAAACGAAGCACGACTACTACTACGTTTACGTAAATGACGTATCTTTAATGGTATCGACTCCAAATCACCGCCAGCGGATGGAGTATTAGGTCTTGAATTGGCAGCAGCAGCCGCCGCAGCTGATGTTGTCGATGTACGTTCTACAGAACTAGATTTTGATGAATTCGAAGGAGCTGTTTTTAATGTCATACGACAATTATGACATAACCACTGGCCACTGGGTATATCATCTTCGGTTAGAGGAGGATCACTGTAATAAATAAATGTTAGGTTATGTATTATATATAGCTATATGCTTGAAATGTCAGAGCTAAGCAAGAATTTAACTTATTGATCCAGCATTGCACACATCCGTTTTCTAATACTTACTGGCATTGTAAATGGAAACTGGATGGACAACGGTCACAGCATAATAGATCACCCCCTTCTTCGCAGGCATCACACAAATCATGGTTATGACCTCTGCCAGGTCTTTTATAGTATGGATGTTTTGTGGCCGTCGGACGAACGCCTAATTTTTCATCTTCCGTTGGCGGGGGTTTTATTAAATTTTGTATTTGCTGTAAAATATTTAAAAAACACAAACGTTTATTTCTGATATACATATCGAATATTTAGAGATTTGCGAAATTCATATTCTGCTGTTGCTTGCAGATGAAAGCTGCTGTACACACATTTCCCACTTTTTTCTCCTCATTGCAACACAGTACTGGCCAAATTGTCGTTGGCCTATTCGCAATCAACTACTTCAGTTAATACGTATTTTATTCGCTTACCTCCATTATGCTTAATTCAGCATTCGGATTATTCTCCGTCTTAGACATGATTCCAAACGTTATTTCTCTCTATTATTTATAATAATTTTATAAATAAATCGTTGGTTGATTCTGTGGACAATAAATAGAGTTCGAGTCCAGACACAACGATGTCCAGATGGTTTTGTCGGCGTTGAGATTTGTTTGACATAGAATAGGGATACGTAAGTCGGGTTGCGAGAAATCGTTTATCGTCCTTAAAGTGGTGTACACACTATCACTTTTTAATGACAGGTTGGTTCAAATTCAACTTTTCTATTAAAGAGGTCAAGTTTGAAGCAATCGTTAATAGTCATTTTTAAAAGTAGAAAGCATTTTGAGGGTGCTGGTGAAATAATCTGATCTTACTGTCCGATCTAAGGCTACGTTTAGCCTACTAAATCCACTCAATTTAAAACGTCACGTTAATCCTGTTCACAAATTCAGTGGATTATATTTGACGTATAAGCCATGGAATTGACTTTTGAGATCGAGTGGATTTCGTAAATCTAAACGTACCATTAGTAGCAGCAGACTCCTTATCCTTAGTCCGCTTTTCCACAGGCAGATTTTTATTTGGCAATTTTTTTGTTTTCTCTTTTGAAATTTTCGCTTGCTTTTCCATTAGCAAATTTTTCTTTGCCAAATTTGCGAATCAAAATACAAAAGAAAGGAAAAAAACGTCAAAAGTGTTTGCATTTTAAAGATGTTTTTTAATATTTTATTTATTTTTTATATATTTTATTATATAAATTGCAAAAATTAAAAATTAAATTTCACTTGCACAAATTAAAGCAACAGTTTTGTAAACAAAAGCCGGCTGTGTGTCAGTAAAGCGAATAGCTTCAAAAGGAAATATCAACAAAATTGTTTTCAACGAACAGAGCAAAGCAGAATTTGCGTGTACGCCAAATTCTGAACAGGCAAATTTTTGTTTTTCTTCCTTGCACCCCTCTCGCCTACAAACTCAGTATTTGCCAAATAAAAATTTGCCTGTGGAAAAGCAGACTTAAATAAAATTATTATGTGCTCCAGTACCTCATGTCCTAGGTCCATTACAGAGGCCAAGTAGAAAACAATCATTAATGGCCATTTTAACGGTAACACCCCCATATTGAAATTTTTTTGTTTACGTGTCCTTACATTTAATTCAAAATTAATGCTCTTTAACGGCACGGTTGCATTAGATCTATGCTTGTTCGCGTCCTGCGAGAACTTACTAGTTTTTACTATTTTTTCGATATCATAAAGGAAAATTTGTTATCGTAGTAAAAAGTGACAGATTCTTGCAGTACGGGAACACAATTTTACACAATATGTTCTTTACATATCGAGCCATATTCGCCAAAAAAACTTAACCATCAAATTTGAAATTTTACAATAGAAGGTTTCTTTTAATAAATTCAGATTTAATAAAGCTATTATTTTGAAATTTAGAACAATATTTTAAAACAAAACTAGTTTAAAGGTCGTTTACATTTAACCGGATTTGGTTAACCCAGTGGGTTTAAATTTTCAATTCCCTTGAATATATGCCAAATAAATCCTCATAAAGTAGGTTAACTCGGTAAAAAGTTCTAATGTAAATGCCGTATTATAACAAAACTATAGTTCTGAATTTCAAAATAATAACTTTGTTAAATCTGAATTTATTAAATGAAACCTTCTACTGTAAAATTTCAAATTTGAAGGTTACGTTTTTTGGCGAATATGGCTCGATATCGAGCCAAGAATCTACTACTTTTTACTACGATAAATGTAGTCACAGTTAAATGTTGTCGAGACAAAAACAAAAATTTTTGTTTTGATACGACAACTTATTATGGCATCGTGGTTATGCCATGGCCCACAGCGTAGGGGGTATTTTTTCTTTGTTGACGAGACATACAAAAAATACAAATACAAATTGTCAATTCCATTGTATATATTTAAAAAAAGTCCTAATAAAGTAGATTAGCCCGGTAAAAAATTTAATGTAAATGCCGTTTTAAAGAGCTGTAAAGAATTTATATTTAAAGCTTAATGTATATGACACAAAAAATACACACACATCCATATTGAAGATGCATTCTTTAACAGAAATCAAAGCCGTCGTTTCATCTAGATTGTACGCCGTTCAATTCAATAGATTCGACAGTGTTCTTTATTGTTTGGAAATGACGTTTTATTAATAATAAAGAACATAAATAATATATAGCTCTTCATCTTCTAAATAATAGACCTATTAATTTACTAAAAAAAGAAAATAAAAAAATGTTTTCATTCTTTACGAAAAAAGCACAGAATCCCGATTCTCCTGTCATAATACAAGGACCTTCATCGACAAATGACTCACAAAATAGCGGAGCAGATGATTTCATATTTGTGGAGAAGAAAGGCGATACTAGACCTGAACAGCCAACACCACCTCAACATCAAATGTATCCGCAAATACCACCAGGTGCGGGAGCCTATGGATCGCCATATCCAACATATCCATATGGTCCGCCACCACCACCACCACGAGTTGGAAACGAATCGAATAGTATAGCACAAAATCAAAATCATCCAGTTCCCTATGTGCACGACATACCATTTGTTCTGGCACCACAACTTTGTACAAAATCTACATTTGATGATACACAAACTCAAGTCGATGGTATTTTAGCGTTCCTAACCAGACAAATGTCCGTCACCGAACAGGATGAATATAATTTCTCCTTGGAACGATCTATACAAAATGAATGTTACTAAATTTTTGGCTTGTATGTTAGGAGAGGCGTATCTGTGAAATTCTCATTATCCAGCTTATTTCATAATTTAGTTTTAAAATTAATAAAAAAGTGATATAAACAAAAATGGTATTGCTATTGTTGTGTATCTATAATGGGATGATGGAATATTTTTGGAATGTATTGGCAATTATTATAACTCATTTTAATTATTTGTATATCTGAAGGGGGAAACGCTTATTACTGTGGTACGTACAATAAAGATTGCAATATTATTAAATACGCTTATCAGAGCAAAGCACGTGAATTGGAAAATACTAAAGCGAGAAGAAATTATTTTGTTGGAATTAAAGAAAAATCATATGAATTTATACAGAGGTTTAATAGTTCTAGCCGAAGACTTCATGAGGTCTGGGTCTTCAAAGATCGTTGTGACCCTTGTATTTCTCTTTCAGTTTAAAATGAATATTAACAAGTAAAAAAGTGTCAAAATGATATACCACCAGTCTATGACACACAAATTTATTGGGAGGTTCCAGAGGGAAAGAATCTGCGGACGTGATCTATAGCTGGCAAAAATATAAAAAAAAGTTGGATGAAATTCGCTTCATATGAGATTTACAAGTTTTCAAAATAGGTTGAAATAGGTTCAGATTTAGATATAGCTCTCATATATATTTTCGTTCGATTATGTCGAGATAGATTTTGGACAGCGCACTGTGCTGCAGCATACCAAACTTTTATGTAGATTTTATACATATTTTGCTCGATGATTGACATTCAATTTATCATAAATTTCAGATTGGTATGTGTATGGATTGTTTAATTTTGTTCAAATATCTATGCAATTCTCGCAGTTAATTTCGTCCGATTCCATTTCAATGGTCCTCCAAAGATGATATGTATATTATATCTAAAGGATATTGTACATATGATAATCTCTGGTATGTACCCAAAGTGGTGAAGGGTATCATGTTGTCGGCCTCGTCCGACTTTTGAAATTTCCTTAGTGGTTTTTATTTGTTCTTGGTATAAGTCCATGGTATAATAATAGAAGGTAACAGCAAGTGTTGTTGTACAAAAAACGATACAACAACCACATGAAAATTTGTTGTTGTAAGTTCTACTAGTGTCAACTCATTTGACAGAAAAATGTAAACAAACAAACAAATTATCATCAAATTATTTTTATTTTGAAAATGAAATATTTTCGAATCCTCAAAATAAAAATTGAAAAACATGAATGAAAATCTTTCAAATTTATATTTCTATCGCGTCCACATCTTTCCTTTAATTGTGCCATTGCCACATATATGTATAACACATATGAAACAGCTGGGAATAGCGAGTTATTCCTTGAAGAAAGATTTGCTTCCTGAAACTTTCCCAGCAGGCAGATTGAGTAAATTGAATACGGTAGCACATTTAATAAAGAACAATTTCAAATTGTATGCGTTCCCAATTTTCCTGTTGGGTGATTTTTAAAAACATAAGTTGTCAAATTCATATTGACACTAGTATTACGTTGGAATCAAATCAGCTGGGATTTGCTGTTACCAAGGTATATTTAATAAGGTAGCCGCATCGGCCCAGCTGTTGGGCAAATAAATGTCAAAAATGTTGTTGTAGTGTTGAACCAAAAAATTAAAAAACAAAATTATAAATGAAAATCTCCGAATTTCGAAAAGCTTTTTTGGCACTACTTTTATTAACATTTTCTACAAGAATTTTTGTAAAAAAATCTTGTAAATCTGTTTGTTTTTGCAAAATATTTTTGACATATCAAAATACAACAACCGATGTTTGTTGTAGAAATTCGCCGATGCGGCTACCTTGTATATCTACCTTGGCTGTTACCTTTTATAATTGTACCATGGTATAAGTCTTAAATTGAACTATTTGGACTAAAATTGTTCACGGGCTCTTTTCAATGAATCGTCCAAGTGAACTCATAAATTCGTGAACTTTAGAACTCTATTAGCAATAAACGATTTAGTTATACCTATTTTGCAGACAAGGAGTTTTTGGTAGTTGACGACTTTACTTGTATTGTTTTTCTGTTGATTAAATCAATTAATTTTTAATAATTATTTAAAGCTTTTGGATATTTAGTATTTTACAGGTGACTATTTACAAAAGAAAATGGCTTCGCAGCCTGTAGAAGCCCAAGGGCTGCAACAAAAGTCCAAACGACCTTCAGGTAAGAAGAAAAAAATTGTCTATTAATGTACGTGAGAAAGAAAACAGTTGAATATATCAGAGTGATTAAGAGGTGTGGGGGTCATTGATAGGGCCACCATATGCCTTATGACTCAAAATGTAGTAAACGTAAATCAAATCAATTGAATAAAGACTTTGATTTTATTTTCCAAATGTATTTCTAGTGTGGATACTAAATTGATTCTCCTTTCCAGATTCTGCCTTTAAACAACAACGTTTACCAGCCTGGCAACCTGTCTTGACCGCTGGTACTGTCCTACCAACATTCTTCATTATCGGTATACTCTTTATACCAGTTGGTGTGGCCCTCTTATATTTTTCCGATGAAGTTAGTGAACATGTCATTGATTACACCGATTGTCTTCAAGTTGGCCAAAAGAATGTTACATGTTCGTCTTATCTGGAACAGAATCCAAGTTCAACATGCCAATGTGAAATAACATTTACTCTAGATAAAGATTTTGTGGTGAGTATGAGTAATAAACGGAAAGCTAATAACCAAATAGATAACTATTTTTAGAGTTATTAACATTTTAGTATTGGTTATTCGATTGCGATTAGAAATTTGAATGGTAATCTTTGAAATAAATATTTGTTATTTTGGAAACTATGTGGGTCTAAAAATTGATAACGCAATATTCGCAATAGCAAGAACCCTTTGAAACTTTTAAGAAAAAAACTCAATAAAAAAATAAATTACAATAGATATGGAGTGACTTTCTTAATTGCTTTTACGGTTGTCCAATGGACCCCAAGGATCACTATTAAAATTGATGAGAATCGGCTCAGTTGTTATACAATAAGAATAATATTGATCTCATATCATCCGATTTTATGGTTGTTCTCCGTACTAATGCCTCTATAGTTAAAATAGCCAGACATAAGCCTAGAATGATGCATGTAAACTATAGTCTAAATCGTATTTAAAATATTTCTCTCATATAGGTTATACTACAAATACTAATGCACCATCTGCATATTCCCACGAGGATTTAAAGCATGGATTTTTTAAAGAATTTTAAATAGATATAAATAGAAGTAGATAACGACGTGGATTTTTAATGAATTCTAGTAGTCTTAGGTTGAATATTTATTAATAAATCTATATAAATAAACCTTTAAATTATATTCTATCCATTTCCTCAATCTTTCCAGGGAAATGTCTACATGTATTATGGTCTTAGTAATTATTATCAAAATCACAGACGATATGTAAAATCACGAGATGATGATCAATTACTGGGTCGTTTATCACAGACCCCATCCACAGATTGTGTACCATTTGCCTATGATGATGATCCAATAACTGGCGTTCAATTGCCAATTGCACCCTGTGGTGCTATTGCCAATTCACTATTCAATGGTAAACCAATTCAAACGACCCTAAATAAAATTATTAATTTGTATTTTCTACCTTTTCCTAGATTCCATGTCATTGGAGTTTAATAGCAAACCAGTTCCTTTGTTGAATACTGGTATTGCATGGCCATCTGATAAACAAGTAAAATTCCGTAATCCTCAAGGAAGTTTACAAGCTGCTCTGGAGCGTAAATTTGCTAAGCCCAAGTTCTGGAGTAAAGAATTGTGGGAATTGGATGAGGAAAATCCCGATAACAATGGTTTTCAGGTGGGTTGTAAAAATGGCAGCACAAAACAATGAATATGAATTAATGTTGTTTTCAATTTGTTGCAGAATGAAGATCTAATTGTTTGGATGCGTACCGCTGCTCTGCCCAGTTTTCGTAAATTATACCGACGCATTGATCACAGTAAGCCGAATTTTGAAAATGGCTTAAAGAGTGGTCAATATAAATTATCCATAAATTATCGTATGTATTTTTGAATGGTTTGTTTTACAGATTTTTGCATTGTTAATTTAATTTATTTTCTTTGCAGAATATCCTGTATCCGCTTTTAATGGTTCCAAGAAAATGATCCTATCTACAACATCGCTATTGGGTGGCAAAAATCCCTTCTTGGGCATTGCATATATTGTTGTTGGCTGTATTTGTCTTATACTTGGCATTGCTTTGTTGATCATACATATCAAGTGTAGTAAAAGGTTTGATATATTACCATGAAAATTGTATTTCGTATAAATTTTATTTATTTACTATTTTTATTCATTTATTTATTTATTTTTTGGTTTAAATAAGAGGTGTAAAATTTAATTTTTTTCAGTTGAATTTATTGGAAACAATAAAAATTGAATATTAAAGAAATCTAAAGTGTAAAATGGTTAATTGAGGCAAGGGGAAACATTTTGTTTTGCACATTTATTTATTCAGTAAGCAAGCACATGCACAAGCAATAAGAATTGTGGGCACATTGGCATGCGGCACAGTTTCGTCCTACCTCCTGTTTTGCTTTGAGGAAAATGTATAGAGAAACAAATCTATTTTCGTCTTTAAAAATAATTGATAAAGGTTGCAATATGGAGATTGCACAAACACCGATGGCTTGGGGGCCTTAATATAGTTTTCTACACATAGTTTTAATCCCTATTATATAGTATGAACTTAATAATATTCTATTTTTTGTTTTCTTTACAGCAATGCCGAAATGATCAATGTGAATCCTCGCACACCATATTCATAAGCGCTATTGAATACAAAAGAAGATCCAAATAAAACAAAAAATGAAGCAGCACACTTTAGTTTGTGACAATGTTAAAGCTAATCTTCGTTTCCACAACTGTCCTGTCCTTGTAGTATATGAAACAAACAACAAATAGATTTAATGGAATTACAAAACAAAACAAAAATCCCTATGTAATTAGATGTTCTAATACGATTATACTGAAAACTATCAAGTGTCTTACTATAAATAGTATTGTTTATATTTGATAAGAAATTGTTTTTTTAATTAATGTATTTGTTTAGTTTAAAACATACTTATTTTTGCATAAGGTAACAAATTTATAATAAACCATTATATATACTTGTATTCCGTTTACCTGATATTCGATTCTACTTTTTTTTGAATGAGAACAAATTAATATGTGTACTTTTTTCTATTAAATTTTTTCTCGTTGTAATTGTTGTTTTTTTATTATAACACATAAGCACATAATTTATTAATACAAAAAAAATCACTTGTGATCTTTCAAATAAACATTATATACACCAATTAAATACAATGAATTTTCCTAGGGGGGTAGGACACATCAATGCATTTTAGAGGGTTAGGATTGAAGGAGGAGGATTTTTATTAAATTTTAGAGGAATGAAGAATTAAATAAATGTTTGACGACTTCAAGTGTATATGTTTTAATAAATATTACAGTGATATTTTCAGGTCTTATTGCGAGCATTTTTTTTAATTCTAGAGAGATATTTGGAAGATAACATAGGGCGTTTATTAGTAATAAATGTAGAGGCATGTTTGCAGGTTTTGGGCAGGTTAATAGTAATATGGTATAGGTTTTAAATAAATTTTGATAGTGAATTTTAGATATATGTTTAGATAACTAGGACGTGGATATTTAAATAATTTTTTGAGATCCTAAGGCGAACATTTTTATACCCTTTACCACACTGTGGTACAGGGTATTATGTCTTAGTGCATATGTTTGTAACAGGCAAAAGGAAACGAGTGGGACCTATGGTTCCTTTTAAGAATATGCATAGAATCCGTCTGTCTGTCCATGTTAAATTGTAAACAAAGTACAGGTCGCAGCCCATTTGTTTTGCTCAAGGACGAACCCTATTGAAATTTAGATATAGCTCCCATTTCGTCCGATTTTTAGAAAATGGTGCAACAAAGAGTCAATTTTACACCGATTGGCACGAAATTTTGAACAACGGACTGAAATGTGGATAGCCTAAGGTGAACCAAGTTTCATTGAAATCGGTTCAGATTTAGATATAGCTCCCATAAATATTTTCGTCCGATTTTTAGCAAATAGTGCACCAAAGAGTCAAATTTAGGCCGAATAATACGAAATTTTGTACAAAGTACTGAAGTTAGGACAGTCTAACGTGTGCCAAGTTTTATTAAAATCGGTTCAGATTTAGATATAGGTCCAATATGTGAATTCTGCAACAATGATTCAAATTTAGGCCGAATGGCACGAAATTTTTCACAACATTCTGAAGTTAGGATAGCCTAAAGTGTGCCAAGTTTTATTGAAATCAAATTTTGATATAGCTTCCATATATATTTTAGTCCCCTTTTTTTAAGCAAATGGTGCACCAAAGAGTTGAATTTCGGCCGTTTGGTACAACGTAGTCAAATAAGTAAAATTTAAGCCGATTGGCTTGAAATCGGTGTCAATTTGGATATAGCTCTTATTTATAAATAATACACCAAAGAGTTAAACTGTGTCCGATTGACACAACATTATGCGTAACATATCGAAATGGGTATACAATAACGACTGGTAAATATGTTTAAAAAAATTGGTTCAGATTTAGATATAGCTCCCAATATATTTTCGTCCGATTTTACGTGAATCGTGTACCAAACTCTTCATGCTTTTTTGATTGACATAAAATTTTACACTACGTTCTTACGACAGTATAGCCTGATATGTGTTAAGTGAAGGTATTAAATTGAGCCTAGAATATTACGTTTCGTAGAAATTGGTTCAGATGAAAATATTGTTCCTATATATGTTTTCGACTGACTTCAGTTAATTGACCTCCAAATAATGAACTAGTGTCCACTTGAGGCTCTGTAATGAATAGTTTGATTTATATAATGTTATACCTTTGCGCTGATTGAGAATATATATGGGCAATATTGCCAATTTTTTAATATTCCATTTTCAAAAAATCAGCTTTTTTGTTTTTGTGGCACATCAATGATTTTTGGTACACATATAGAGAAAAATGTTCAGACTCCGAAACCGTTCGCGATCAAATTTTTGGTTGATGCGCGCAAAAGTTATCGAGGGTTTAATTTTGGGCATAAGAAAAAATCTTAAAATTACGCCGTTTATTATAATGACCAAAAACGTTGATATAGATCTTCCTCCGTAAAATAATAATATGAATATATTATAATAATCGCGATAAAGTTGCACACCTTCGCGAAATATGAGAAAAAAAATATAGCAGATTACATCAATATTTTCATTATACTAATGACATACACAAACCTAAAAATTAATTTAAAAATATCTGCATAATCTAAACACCATGATGAACCAAATGATATCAAAATCACACAAGTCCGTGTAGTGGTTTGTAAATTACAGCGACAACAAAACAAGATATTGAGGAAAAATATTTGTTTTTGGTTCGAAAAAATAATGTCATAATATTTATTTTTTTATTTGTATACAAAAAATTTCAGAAAAAAAATGTTGGGGTTATTCTGCTATTTTACCCGAATTTCGCCGAAAAATTGACATATAGAATAGAAATCACTTTTTGTGTATAAGTATACGCCTTGCGGATTATATCAAGACTCATCCGATAAATCATAGAATTCTATAAATAGGAATAAATCATAAAATAAAATAATATTATGAAATATACATTTTAAATTGCGTGTAAATCGCGTAATTCTTAAAATCATTTGATGCGCATGCGGTTTCCAGGAAGTACTGAAGTTTATCTTCCCATCCATATAAATTTTGCGAAATTTCATTTGACGGTTAAGATGTGCCGCACGTTACATTGAGGTACCCAAAAAATCGTAAAACGCGAATAATTTCCGAAAACTCCATATGCCATTAACGCGCATCCGATTTCGGTGTGCACCCTAAAAAAATACATCGATATATACCATTTCAATGTGGTCCATTAAGAACCATGGATGTGCCAGCAAAATCTATTTTTGAGATAAATTGCGTACATCTCTCTTTCGGCTGAAGTTTTTAAAGTTCTCTTTTCGAAAAAGATCACAATTCGTATGAGGTCATTTATTGAAGTGGAAATGATACACAGAAAACGCAAATAAATCCGCGATATTTTCAAAAACATTTTTTGCCAAATTTCGTGTTTTTGGAAGGCCAGTTCCCGCCGTTCTAGTAGATGGATTTTCACGAAGAAGATTTTATATCATCCGAAACGTAAAAAACCTTATTGATCGCGGGTACCCATATCATTCAGTTGACAGATCTAAAAATTTGGCCCGAAAAATAGGTTTTTTAGAAATTTGATCGCACAAAATTCGCACCTTCGGATGAGTATTACTCTGAAGCTGTGAATACTACATACACAAAATACATATCAAATTACGCAGATTCGCGACTACAATAATCTTATAATCGATTTTTATAAATTCGTGTTTGCGTATTAAAGCTAGAAGTAAAATTCAAAAAACACTCAAAATCGAGCTTCAAAATGTCAGCATCATTTAAAGGTAGATGCAGTTAAAATTTTGAAAAATGATACATAAGGGGCGTAGTCCCCATTTTGTTGGCTTCTAGTTTTATTTTGACACGAAGGCCATGCAATGAGTGGCTTAGTCACAAATCGATAGAGAACATAAAAAAACTGGTTCGCCTCAACCTGTTTTTACACATTTTTTTACATTAAAGTAGACACAGCTTCCACCAAAATAGAGTTTGGAGGTTAATATCATGAACAGTTTGCAACGACAGATTAATTAACCCATAACTATTCACTTTTTTTCATATACTTAAGTAGTTCCCGAGTTATAAAGGGGTGAACCTCCGCTTCAGCTATGTTAAAAAATTGGCAATATTGCCCATATACGTTATAGGGTCGGAAATGATTATTTCGAAAAAGGTGCAAATGTACCCAGTTACTGATCGTAGTAACGATCAATAACGTCGGATCACATCTAAACGCATTTTATTTAGACCAATTTCATGTCAATGGTTATTCAAAAAATGTGGTAAAGGTATCCAATGTGGTAAAGGGTATCATATAGTCGGCTCCGTCTGACTTTACTACTTTCCTTACTGGTTAAATATATTTTAGAGGTTTTATGGCATATATATTTAACATATTGTAAAGGACATAAGACGTAGAATTAAAAAAAATTAAAGGTGTGAAAGCCTTAATTTTTTAATGAATTGTAGAGGGAGATTTAAAGGGTTTAATAGGTGGATTTTTAAGGGTTTAAGGAGTGGATATTTAAAGGAATGAAGGTGTGAATTTGTTAATG